CTGATCAGACTACAACTATGATTTCAGAAGCAACAATGAAAGCAAGAAGACAATGAAAGAGTATCACTAAATACTGAGGGGAAAATAACCATCAATCCATCCATCTAGAATTGTAGAGCCAGCTACCTTTCAAGGATAGTAAAATGATAAACTGTGGGTAAGTCTAAATAAATACTGACTGTATACAATAAAATAGCTATTTTTGGAGTTAAACTGAGATAAATTAAAATTCTAGGCACTAACTGATTGAGGAATCAAACTCTTCAAAAGTCTCTGGTGTTTAGGAAGACAGTAAAGATACTAACTTTAGATTTTGTTAACTATGCAGATTAAATTTCTTGGTAAGCACTAAAAGTTAAAAATTGAGTTTTACCTTCTAAACTAGTAGAGGGAGGATAAACAGGAAAACAAAATGAAAATTAATCTATAAGAAAGCAAAAACAAAACAAAACAAAACAATGGGCAGTGAGGAAACAGAAAAGGTAGGACCAAAAGCACAAAAGATGATATAAATGAATCCTAATACATTAATAGTTTCAACAAATTTAAATGGATTAGATAGAAAGAAAAAAAACCCAGTTATGATTTTTAAGTTACAAATACTAACTAGCTGATGTGTGTAGCTTATGTAAATTTAAAAAACCCCACAGAATTAAAAGCAATAAAAAATGAAATAAAAACATTACTGGAAATAGAGGCTATGTCAACAAGATTCAGTTCTAAGCTTGGAAGATAAAAAATTCCAAAGTTGTATCTACCTAATAACAAAGCTTCAAAATACAGAAAACAAAAATTGATAGAATTACAGGAAGAATTAGAAAACTGACTAGAGTATGAAATTTCAAGGCATCTCAGAATCTGAGGGATTACACAGAAGGAAAACAACAGTAAAACAGAGATAATTGGAACAACACAGTAAGTTTGGTCTAATGGATACCCAACAACTGGAAAACAGCATATGTTCAAGTGCTAATGAAACACAAAAACTAACAATATTTTAGGTCATAAGGCAAATAAAAGAATTTCAATGTATCAGTCTTACACCAAACCATTCTCTAACCACAATCCAATGAAAGAATAAATCAACAACAAGAACAATTTAAAAATCTATAGGTTAAGAAATGAAAAAACACCCATAAATACGTAAGTCAAAAAAAAAAAAGAAATCATAATGAAAAATGGAAAATACTTAGACCTTAAGAATATTTTTTTTTTTAAAGATTTTATTTATTTATTTGAGACAGAGAGAATGAGAGAGAGAGAGAGCACATGAGAGGGGGGAGGGTCAGAGGGAGAAGCAGACTCCCTGCCGAGCAGGGAGCCCGATGTGGGACTGGAGCCCAATGCGGGACTCGATCCCGGGACTCCAGGATCATGACCTGAGCCGAAGGCAGTCGCTTAACCAACTGAGCCACCCAGGCGCCCCAAGAATATTTTTATAATACTTTAAAAAGGCAGAATGTTACTTCACTTGATCATTACAAAATAATCCTGTGAGCTATGCAGAACCCATTTTATCTCTGCTCAACAGCATAAACAGAAATGTTGTAAATTATGTAATTATTAGTTACTTTATATGCAAATAAAATATCTATCAAAAGTGATTTGGAAACTGGGAAATATAAGTGAAAATATTAAGGGGAAGGCAAACCAACCGTCTCTTTTACACACTATGTTGATTAGCTAACAAAGTTACAAAGGAAGAATTTAGTATCTTAATGCTGACAGTTCAAAAAGCTTACCAATTCATTTGGGTTTAAGAAGTCCTTTAGATCCTTATATAAAATATACAAACTTATACAGTATTTATTATCGTATGAGAGGAACAAACACTATCGGAAACCTTTGCTGCTCAAGAGGAATGGCCACTTTTGCGAACACATTTGCTCTCACACACACAGTCCTGATTTCTCGCATCTGCTCAAATGGTGCGCTGGCAATTAATAGCATTCCAAAAACTGCCTACAGTACAAAGGGAATTTTCATTTAAGGTTCCCCTCCCTTTTCATGTGTGGGCTATTTTTGGAAGTATGGTTTTATTTTTTTCCATCCACTGAAAGAGAATTAAGAAAATTCCAACATGCCTTAGTGTCAGCAAGTGCTCTTTTTAGTCCAGGTACCAGAGAATGATTGATGAACCTGTCAAGCCTACAGTAGCAGACAGAGAAAGTTGGCAGAAGTTCAGTGTTATTGAAAGAAATCTCAAATACTTATTTCATCTCCTCTATTAACTTTAATCACATTTTCAACATGCAGCCAAGAATGAAGCTTTACAGTAAGCCATAAATTTACACAAGCAAGCATTGTCACTTTTCTGCAGTAGCAACACTGAGATAACACAAGAGAGTTGGGTGTTTTCTTTCTTGTGCCTTTCTTTACTGGAGAGCAATAAAAAATATTTGAAAGATTTATCCATACCTTGAATTCATTCGCCATAAATCTCAGAAATTATTGCATTTAATTTTGCTTGGTTTATGGCAAATAAAAAAATCAACTTAGTTTCTCAATTAGGACTGTTAAATGCAGATTTTTTAAAGATCACAGTGATGACAGAATTGGTACATGTTTCATCATAATACACCTGCTTATGAGAACAGACATTAAACACTAAAAAAGGATTTACATTTAACATGGATCATTTGCCATGTGGGCAAACACTTCTCGTTTATTCAGAGCCAGAACCTTTATACGGTTCCAGAGGGACTCCTTGGCAGATTTTGCTGATTACTCATTAAACAGTTGAAACATGTATAGACGTTATTTATCTTACAAAGCTTACCCACAGCAAAACAGACACAAAAATGAGGTAAATACCATGGACAAGATTATGGTTCTTGGAAAGGCTAAACGTCAAATATATTTTTGGTAAGCTTTTCCTTCTAAGTATGTTTTAAAAGCTGAAAATATTAAGTGCTGGAAGGCCACAAAACTTAGCAAGTGTGTTTTGTCATTCAGTGAAACACTTGGCATTATGCCGTACTACAAAATCTGTAACCTTTCCCAATGGGCAGTTCAAAGACCAACGTGGCCATCTTTGTCTCAGCAGAGAAAAGGTTGTACCTCTCACCTCTCTTAAATATGATCTCTGCTCTAAAGACGTTGTTTTTGTCCACATTACTCATGGAATAACACTGTATACATTCTTCCAATAACCAAGGACGTTATGACAGTAGCTATTCTATCTGCCTTCTAAGCCACAATAACTAATACTCACCCTCTATGAGAAAGAATTAAATTATTTTTCTAAGAAGTCTATACTTACAGTCCTCCGAGATAATCAATGGAAAAGACACCCAATTCTGATTAACAAAAAGCAAATTTATCCCATTTTTCCTCCTATCCTCCCCATTCAAATAATCATATATAGGCACTTAAAACTGGAAAGATGTAGCACTCTTCTTCTATTAAACAATTAAGACTCCAGTAGGACTTACTTTCTTCTGATATAAGAGTGCCACTGAATATATTGCTAAGCTTGAAGCAGAGGCTAAATGGTTTGGTGGGAACAGTTTTTTTGGGGGAAGTCAATGTTTTCTTATTAAATTGTCACTGTTGTGGTTAAAGTTCTTAAAAGGTTGAAAATTTTGCTAGGTCCTTCTCCATGTCGGCATATTGTTCTTTAAGCCTCTCCGTGGCTTTTCTGTGTTCTTCATCCACTTCAGCCTGTCTGCTGTGTTGTTCTTTCATGAAATCTTCCCACTGGATTATATGCTGTTTTTCACTAGCTATTAAATGGTCATTAAGAATCTGAGAAAAGAAATTTGAAAGTCACATGACATTGTCCAGACAATTATTCCTCTATGCAGAAGAGACAAACATAACTTTACCTCTTGGTATGTGGCTACTACAGCTTGAAAGTCACAGTGCTAAAACTGCATCACAGTTTTAATGTCCAACAAGAACATGACAAATTAGAAATGTCTAAGGCTTCTTTACTATGACTGAACATGGATGGGTAATCATATTTCTGAATTTTCAATAATGTCTAGTATCTTTAAATGATAAAATCAAATAAAACCCAAGTACATTTTCATGCCTATTTCTTCTCAAATTCCACTTAACTGTATTTAATATTTAAATCAAGTTTAAAGAATATATGCCCAAAGAATCATTATTATGAGAAGTCAAGATGCATGTCTTACATAAAATATTTTTTCGATGCATTAAAAAAGATTTTAAATTCAAAAAAAATTTTGGGGTGCCTGGGTGGCTCAGTCGGTTAAGTGCCTTCAGCTCAGGTCATTATCTCAGGGTCCTGGGATGGAGAGCCCTGCGCATCAGGCTCCCTGCTCAGCGGGGAGCCTGCTTCTCCCTCTCCCGCTGCCCCTCCCCCTGCTGTACTCTCTCTCTCCGTCAAATAAATGAATAAAAAATCTTTTAAAGAAAATTTAAAAACAGATTTTAAATCTAAAAAAGATTTAGAGGCATAGATTATTAATCACTGGAAGAGAACTCAAGACATCTCTTCTGGTTCAGTTCCATTCCTTAAAGTAAATAAATACCAAAAGCATCTGTGCAAATATCTTAAGTTCTTGAGATGTCCCTTAATATTTCTATATGAAGATGAAAAAATTTTCTTTTGACTACCATGCTAAAGATAAAACAATGTATAAGTGAAAAAGGCGTAAGTTTAGTACAATTTCAATTATCTTTGAATATGTACAACAAAGAAAAGCTAAACAGGAAAAGAGAGTATGAAAAATAGCTTTATATCCCTGCCTTAAATGTTCTACATACATGTCTTTAGAAGTCTGGATACAGACTAAGTTCTATTAAACAAACAAACAAAAACTGTGACAGATATAAACCATAAAAAGTTATAAAGTACCTAAAATCATTATAAATTCCAGCACTCTAATGAAAACAGGACACCTGGTATACTCACATACTGGTGCCCAGATGCTTGGTCACACCAAAAAGATAGCTAATAGGAAAAAAATGGGAACTGTTTTCATGCTGTCATCATGTCCTTGCTGCTCCATTTTCTCTCTCATCTGAGATGATGATAAGCAGGATGAAAAGGTGGATAAATCCATCATTCTCTAAGTAGCTCTGAAATGCATGTTTTTGCTACTTGTTTTGCATATCTTATCTACTCCTAAAAACTGCTCTTATAAAATTACATTATTTTCACTTTACAGATGAAGAAATTAAGGTTTAAGGACAGTAAATGTATTTCTCCATGGTCACTCAGCTATTAAGTTGCAGATTCAAACTTAGGTCTTTGTGACACCCAATCTATGCCTTTTTTATCCAAAGTGTGAACTGGATCTTTCCAGAGGAAGGTTTACACAGGTAGGAAAAGTCTCTTTTACAAGACAAAAACAACTATTACAAGAGCTTTTTCCTGCCAACGTGATCTGACCTTCCTCTGCATGGAGGCTTTTCAAGTGAAAAGAAGTTGTTGGAGTGAGTCTGAAGTTTGCGTTAAAGTCAAACATTCCCCTAAAATATGTGCCACAGACCCTTAGGATCTGCACAGGCACTACAGTGGTGGGGAGAGAGGGTTAGGGAGGGGTTTGCTGGTGGCAATAAATTTAGGAAACAGGTTAAACAAAATTCAGAACTTTACTTTTTAACTTTTCAGCCTCACGGATTGTAATTCTCCAAAAGATGAACAAAACATGGAGTTCATTAAACTCTTTTCATGGTCCTTTAGCAAAAACTATTATATTCTAAGAGAAAAGTCACAGTCAGACTAAAGAGAGAAGAAAATGCAAATAAACTTTCTCAAAATGGGATCCTGCTTTAGCTGTAAATTATTTTTTAATAAATACAGAAAATACTAAACATGCACACTCAGATGTTGTTTAATAGATTTTTCTTTTCTTTTTATTCTTTTAAGATATGCACCATAATTGGCTCAGCCGACCCTGTGATTTGGACCACAAGGCAACGGCCCTGATTCCACTTCCCACCAGAGAGCACTTTTTCCAGTGCTACTCAATGGAAAAATGATGATTTGGGAAGCATATAAACCTCACTTCAAATTCTGGTTCACTTGCTACCAGCTGCATGACCCTGAGCAAGTTAAAGTTTCTTTAATTTTAAAATGAGGAAAATACTTTATACTCATAAATAAATATTTATGAAGACCAGAGGTATTACATGTCAAGTTCCTAGCTCACTGCCTGTGGAACTTAATGAAAATTAGTATCACTATTATACAAATTATAAGCAAAACATCTAGAAGGAAGATCAAACCACTTTTTATCTTCCCCATTTTTTGACCTTTAATTTTAATAATTTTTTATTTTAATTTAATAAATTAATAATTTACTTTTTAAGATTTTATTTATTTGAGAGAGGCAGAGACCCTGCGTGTGCGCGTGCACACATGTGTCGGGGGAGGGGGCAGAGGGTGAGGGAGAAGCAGGCACCGGCTGAGCAGGGAGCCCAAGGCAGGGCTCCATCCCAGGACCCCAGGATCATGACTTGGGCTGAAGGCAGACACTTAACTGACTGAGCCACCGAGGCATTCCTAGTTTTAATAATTCAATTTCAGCAATAGATTCTTGTAATAATTTGAACAATACAGGCAACTCAAATAAAAGTGAGTTTCCCCTTCCCGGTTCCTATTCTCAATTCAATCCTCCTTGATGATTCTACTATTTACCATTTGGCTCTAAGAAAAGAATTTAAGATGTCACTAATTATCAGTATGTCTACTTTGTAGTTTCAGAATATTATGACTAAAAACATATATATCCGGGCGCCTGGGTGGCTCAGTTGGTTAAGCGACTGCCTTCGGCTCAGGTCATGATCCTGGAGTCCCGGGATCGAGTCCCGCATCGGGCTCCCTGCTCGGCGGGGAGTCTGCTTCTCCCTCTCCCACTCCCCGTTTGTGTTCCCTCTCTCGCTGTGTCTTTCTCTGTCAAATAAATAAATAAAATCTTAAAAAAAAAATAAAAACATATATATCCAACTAGCTTTTTCATGTAAGATAGATCACTTCCAAGAAAAGAAGTTGAATGCTGATTACTCTCTAATCCAGCTGAAAATATAGTCTTGCTTTCTTACCAAGAAGTTCATGAAGTCACTCTTATTTTATCTTAGCTTCTCACTTTTAATAACAGTAAGTGCTATGAGGGACGCCTGGGTGGCTCAGTCAGCTGAGTGTCTGCCTTCCACTCATGTCATAATCTCAGGGTCCTGGGATCAAGCCCCATATCCAGCTCCCAGCTCAGCGGGGAGTCTGCTTCTTCCTCTCCCTCTGCCTCTCCCCCTGCTTGTGCTCTCTCTTTCAAATGAATAAAAAAAAAAAAAATAAGTGTCATGCAATCTTGCATTCTTAACAATCAGTTTAAAAAAAAAAAAAAGGCAGTTTCTAGATTCATGTACTGACAATTCTTTGCATAAATAAGTAACACTTGACTACCTGGAAATAACATCTATCTGAAATTTAGTTGAGAACTATATGGTAAGTCTTTTAATCCATCAAAAGAAAAAAAAGATACCAAAAAGTCCAATTACAAATACTGCAGTATTCATGAAAAGCTCTTTTGATTCTGAATTAACTTACCTTACTTTGCACACAGTTCTAACCATGTTAATTAACTGGTTTCCAAAAGTACACTGTATTAAAAGTCACAAATTAGAAAAGAAATGCTGATAAATGAGGTAGGAAGAAATGATAGGCATCAGCCTTGTGGGGAAGAAGAAAGATACAAAAACTTAGAACACACAGTATTTGAGGGCATTTCCTACAGAGAAACACTCTAACACCCTGAGGACACCCCCATATTCACCACAATGTAAAACTGTCTATTCTCAATAATTCCTAATTCGTAAAGAAATTTAGCCTAAAATTCTTTTTATGAAAACCAGAAAAGTATGAAATACGTTTTTAAAGATGTCCCCCCAAAATAAAGTTATAAAAGTGGTGTGCTTGAAGAAGATAAAACCTCAGCTTTGTGGTAAGCGTGGCTAGATGGAATGTTTCATTTTCTAAGATTCCTAGACCCATAAGGTTTTATTGTATGTAAGAGCAGAAAAACCCCCAATTAGCTGTATCTTACATATCACCTAGGCAAAAAGTTAGAAAGTACTGTATGACAGGAGTGAAGGTTATACTAGGGTACAGCTATTCAAAATGTAAGGAAATGCAGTCTGGCCAGTTGCAACTTCACTGGAATAGAATGACAAGGAGCTGAGCAGCTGCTTCATCGAAAGCAGCACATAAGGTCCCTCCTAACATACTGTCACAATACTTCCTCAACTCCACTGAAGCCATTCTGACGTCAGCGTGCGCCCCAGTTCATACACGAGGAAGTTACAGAAGCCAAGGACTTGGCCCGACATGCCAATCAATCTGTTCACAACTACAAAGAACTCTTGGAAATAAGGAGAAATCTTTTATAAATACTAAGCTAACTGCAGACGATCATCACCTGTGCACATCACCTTCAGAAACAGCAATTCTGCTTTTATGTTCAAGAAGTGGGGTTCTACGTGAGATTCAGTCTGAAGTAAGTGTTCCTTTAATTAAAACACATTTGAAAACAATGATCCGATCTAACTATAGTTAGAGTCACACAGCTTCATCTGAGTCTGATAGGAAGTGATAGCTCCCCACATACACACCAAATCCTTTCTCTAGTATCCTTTTTCTTGGCATTATTAATAGTTCAGTGAGTACTAAAGATTATTTCCTGATGTTTGTACAAATGCATCTCTTTAATAACAACACAATGAAGTCGCATTACACAGGAGGGTCTGCAGTTTTCTCTTTTCAGTAATGACACACCATGTACCAGGGGCACAGCAACAGCAGGAGGGTGGGGGAGCCCCGCCCTGGGTGCAAGCAGTAAGACGGTGTATTGTCGGTAGAGAATTTACATCAAGGACACAAACAAATGAAAGACTGTTTTTTAGCATCACCAGCCACTGACGATACTGAAAAATGTCGGTGATAAAATACTCCTACTAAACCAAAAATCTTTCTCTGGTCTAAAGCTCTAAACAATTACTGAAGTTATTGTTGAATTTTAATAATATGTTTCAAATTAACACATTTTTATTGTTTATCCTTTAATAAATTTTGTATTTTACAGTGAAGTTAATTTAGAGGACTTCCAGTTACATAACCAGTCCTGGACAAAGATGAAGTTGGCTATACATGTTTATTTTCAAAGTAAATACTAAGCAGTCCAGAATCATTTCAGCTTTCTTTAGACACTAAGCCCCTCCAACCCCTGGGGAATTAAATATTATTGCACTTAAACAATGACAGTAGAGCAAATGCAGATAAAATGTGAATCAGTTCAAATCCATTATTCTACATGACCAATTTTTGGACTTAAATTTGAGTATGTTTTTATTTATACCTAAAATTTTTATACTGTGGGGATACTGGGAGCCATTAGAATGACTGCCAAAGAATAAAGATAGTATTGCAATTTCTGGAATTTATTGTGACACATGATTTTTATGAAGCTCTTCCAGACTTATGCTTAAAACTTTTCTGAACTATGTATCTATTGCTTCATGTCAAAGAAATTTTTCAAAATTATAATAAAAAAGCATTTTTAATCAACTGTGAGTCAAAACATTAATAAATCTGTCTATACTATTTATTTAATTTGAATAGTCAAAGATCAATTCAATGAGGTTATTAACAAATCTGCGTAAGAATCAAAAGCAAACTGTAATATTATTATTCATTACCATAACAGACAACATGTAGATAACAGGGTTTTTTTCCTTTTTTTTTTTTTTTTTTTTAAATAATCAATGTACTTAAATTTATTAATCTCTTACCTTTTTTCTTTGGTGTTATAGTACTTTTTAAGTTTTTTATTTTTTTACTGGTGTGACTACATACATGAAGTTAAAAACACCACCACCTGCATTTTTGTTCGTCATTATTTTTTAACATCAGGCTTATTATATTAAACATAATTTTGTTGGGAGGAGTGGTAAAAAATGGTCTATTCTAGGTGTCAAATATGGTATGTACGCTGCTCCTATATAGACATGTTTCCATGGACACACACTTAGAACAAGGTAGAATCAAGAGTAAAAATCCAGTTTTCTACTCTTTTTGCTATATAATGTTGTTTAAACCAAATATATTAAATTATTAGTCTCAGGATTGGCACTGTTTTAAAAAATGACAGAAACTAACAAGTATTTCACATTCCAATTTCCAAAAGTATTAAGAGCTTTAAAAAAACGGACTGAATATGCCTGAATAGGCAGAAAAAAGTCTATAGGCACACAATGTGAACCACTCAGGGATTTATATGTGCTAATTTTCAAAACAAAAGTGCAACTAACTTTGAAATAGTTTTTCTTTTTCTAGCAAGAGTTTATGAGAGCATGTGGTATTAAAAATCAAGTCACATCAGAACCAGATGAGTTTACTGGTGAATTCTAGCAAACATTTAAAGAAGAATTAATACCAATCCTTCTCAATCTCTTCAAAAAATTTGAAGAGGAGGGAAGACTTCCCAACTCATTCTATGAGGCCAGCAACGTTCTGAGACCAAAGCCAGATAAAGACACTATAAGAAAAAAGAAGTGCAGATCAATATTCCTGATGAATACTGATATAAAATCCTTAATAAATTACTAGCAAACTGAGCTCACCAGCATATTAAAAGGGTCATACACTATTTTGTTCTTGGAATGTAAGGATGGTTCAAAACACATGAGAATCAATGAATAAAATATACTACATCAACAGAATGAAGGAAAAAAACACATTAATCATCTCAATCTAATGCAGAAAACGTGTTAGTCAAAGTTCAAGACACGAACTTTTTTTTACCTTACGTGGTAAAAACACTCCACACACTAGTGATAGAAGGAAACTATCTCAACATAATAAAGGCCAATATGTGAAAAATCCACAGCTATCATCATATCCAATGGCAAAAAACTGAAAGCTTTCCCTCTAATATCAGGAAGGAGACAACAAAATTTTGCTTTAGCCACTTCTACTCAACATAGTATTAGAAGTCCTAGCCAGGGCAATTAGCAGAGAAAAAAAGAAGGCATCCAAATTGTAAAAGAAGCAGCAAAATTATCTGTGCTTACAGACAGCATAGTCTTATATGTAGAAAACCATAAGGTTCCACAAAAAAACCGAATAGAACGAACAAATTCAGGAAATTTGCTGGATACAAAATCAAAACTCAAAAATCAGTTGCATTTCTATATACTAATAATGAACAATCCAAAAAGGATATTAAGAAAATTCCATTTACAATAGCACTGAAAAGAATATTTGGGAATGAATTTAACCAAGGAGGCAAAAGACTTGTACACTGATAATTTTTATATATATATATATATATATATAATGATAATCTCATTAGAGATAAATTTAAATATAATGATAATCTCATTAGAGATAAATTTAAAGAGAAGCCAATCCTGAGGCCAAACTATGTCTAGGAATAGGTCTATAAATGAACTCTGGATACATAATAAGAAGAAAATTTTGCATATACTACAGTCTAAATCAGTGATTCTTAATGGGGGGGTTTAAACACCATTTAATTTTCTCTTGTCCCTCAAATTTTTGGTTATCATAGCACAGATTAGGAGGAAGTGCTATTGGCATGTACTGGGTAAAAGCCAAAGATGCTTCTAAACGTCCTACAAAGCACAGGCCAAGCCACAACAACAAAGAATTATCTGTTCCAAACGTCCACAGTGCAGAAGTTGAGACACCCTGGCCTATGGGAAAACTCTGAATAAGCCAACTAAGGCCTAAAAGGCCCTTTCAAACATCTGTCAGTAATACACTGTCATTAATTTTACCAAAAAATAAAGAAGAATTTACTTCAGTAAGAAGTGTCAGAATAAGAGCTATTCCTTTGCATTTTCAAACTCTGTGACGAACAATGTATATGCTATTTTGTTGCTCTTATGAAAATAATCATGCAGGGGTGTAACTAAATCTAGTAAGTATCTGCAGACAAGATGAATCAAAAGATTTGTATTTACTTTATTATCATCTCTAGTCTGGTCGGATATGGCTTCCAAAGTTGACACGTGTGCATGAACCTAAGTTTAAACTACTGACAGGTATTAACAGCTTGTTTCCCTTGATGGTATATTTTCAAGTCACTGAATTTTCCAAACTAGTTGTATTTGCATTTCATTACTTTTAATGCTAGCTTCCAAAATGCAACTTTGTACTAGAGGGTAGTTTTCAAGACATATGTCAAATAACTGGGGAATGTGCATTTATTGTTCTTCTGAATGTACTTTTGGGTATCAATTGTGGGAAGTGTAATTTGGATGAATGACGTTTATCACAATTTACTTCCCACAGAATTCCACATATTGTCTTGACATAAAAGAATTAAAGATTAATGGCAATAGTCTATTTTATTCCATTACTACTCCCATCTTTCTTTGTTCTGAGAGCCATTCAAATATACAAAATGTAGCTAGCCAGCAGTATAACCAAGGGCAACAATTAACATGAGACTGTAAAACCCAGCTAAAGGTCAATTTTGCTTTGTACACATTTGCTAGATGAAAACTTAAACTTTATGTCTATATCTCTTATATATATGTAATCTGAAACCTCTGCCATGTCAGTTTTGGCAAAAATCAGATATAGCAGTATAAAAAAAGGGTCGTTAAAGATACATATTTCAAATGTTCTAACTAGACAAGCACTAAAAAAGAAACAAAGACTAAAGCTTTATTGACCTGCAGAATATAAAGAATGTTTACTTTTCTCTGAGCACTGTCTGAGAAATGCATCTTTGTGTAACATTTAGCTGATGAATTTTATTAAATTATCTTGAGAAAAGAAAATAATCAGAGTGGATTCTTACACACCTAGCCTCGTACATGCCATACCAATTCTTAGTGAAACACATTTCAGTACATTCTAAAATACTAATTTTTAACGTGTATTCCACATTAAGAAATAGTTCAGTAACATTCTCTGACATAATACCTATAAGAAATATATTTAAGACTCACATAATCTAAGAACGTTATTATTTCTTGAGGCCATTTTTATTCAAACCACAGTACAGTAACTTAGTATCTTTTAATTTAAGAAATCGTGAATAGGTGGGATTCTCAAGTGCTTCACCAACTCTAAGAGACCACAGCAGGGTTCTCACCCACCTTAAACAATAATTGAGCTGGCAGGGGAAAAATGGTGCCTTCCACTAGGAGTGGGATACAATCTGCAAAGCTGTTTCATGTAGATTATATAATACAATTTATCTGGTAAGTAGAAAAAATCTATCAGATAAGTATAAGTATAAGCAAAATAAGTACTTATTTTGCAGATGAGGAGCTTGAAGCTCAAGGACTTGCGTAAGGGGATACAGCTAGCCAACAAAGGAACTACCAGAAGTAGAAGATTCCAGGTATTTTCTCACCAAAGCTGGTCGTTTTCCTACTTATATACAGTTAATACACCAAATGTGAGAAAGTTCCAAGTGACAAGAGGAACTATTCCAATTATAATTTAATTTTAGGTTAGTTCTGTTCAAGAGTGACAAGAATTGACATTTCATCACAATCCTAACTGTTCTGACAATGTCTTAGGAAGAAGGGCCAATAATGTATGAGTGCATATTGATGTGAATCTGCTTAAATCACATAGTAACATGCTACACAGAACACTTTTTGAAATTTTTATTCTGAAAACCAAGAGAACTGCTTATTTACAGTAACAGCCAGTACAGCCAGTGTTCTATCAAATAGCATTTGTTTCTCAAAACCAGAAATGCTCCTGGTGCCCTCAACCACAAATTGTTTAATATAGCATTCAAGATTCTCCACAATCATCTCCAGAAATACCCGTTTATATCCTCTACATAGCAGCTGCGTGGGACTACTGACTTCACAGCCTTTTGTCTTTGCTTACACTGTACCCCTCACCCTACAATATCTTTCTTCCCATCCTCCATCAACTGAATTCCTACTCACTGATCAAGGTTGGGCTTGAATGCCACCATCTTCCTAATACATTACTCCTTTTGCCAAGATCCTACAAAGTTCTTTGTAACTTGACCACAGTTCTTACTTTATCCTACATCATACTTGTGTTAGTAGTTTGGGACACCTCTTCTGGACTGTTAGTTCCTGAGTGTATGAACTGCCTTCAACTTAACAAACTAAAATCTTTCATCCCCAGTGGCACCTCGCAAAGTAGAGAACTAAAAAATATCTGCTGTCCAGCCTGGCATGGCCCACACGAGCTCCAGTGCCTGCCTTTACAGTGCTCTCTGGACACTGCAAGCACTACACTCTGACAGATTTCCCAGCATGGCTTTGCCTTGCCATTTTATCAACACGCTCAGGGGCCCTGCTTCCTGACGCAGCCTGCTAGGACCCTACTCCTTCTGGGCAGTCTTCCCACCTGCCTGAAGTGTCAAGTCCTTTCAGTAAGGCCCAATACACCAAATTGTTGAATTTTTAAACTCTGTATCGATATTTAGAGTTGAACAGAGGGTGTAGAAACTTAAACTCCGGCAAGGTTTATTTCACTGCATTTTTATACAGTGCAGATCTGAACTATTATTGTGGATTAACCACAATCCATTCCAGAGAAATGGAGATAGTAACACTTGTTGATACATAAAAGGCATTATATTCACAGTGATTTAGTATTTTCAATATTTCTTAAAAAGTATATCTTTATTAGTTTAGAATAATGATTAAGTTATAAAAATACTTTATGGAAATTGTAAGTGAAAACAGCAAATTATCACAGGATAATTTGTGTTGTTTTTCCATATCTGAATTTATTTAAGATATACTTTCAATAAGCAAAGCACTACCTAGCAAGTGATTCACATACTCTTAGGACTATTCATTAAATAACCCATCCACAGGGGCGCCTGGGTGGCTCAGATGGTTAAGCGTCTGCCTTCGGCTCAGGTCATGATCCCAGGGTCCTGGGATCGAGTCCCACATCGGGCTCCCTGCTCCTTGGGAGCCTGTTTCTCCCTCTGCTTCTCTCTCTCTCTCTCTCTCTCTCTCTGTCTCTCATGAATAAATAAATAAAATCTTAAAAAAAAAAAAAAATAAATAAATAACCCATCCACAGGTATGAATGCTTCCTTTTCTAGGAGAAATATACTCATCAATACTTCAAGCTTAAATAAAAGAATTATATTTCCAATCCGGTGGGTATTTTTTGTTCTATGTAAAAGTCTTAGTCTCTGTTCTCAATCAGACAAATATCACTTCCAGGGAAAACATGGAAATGTTGAAAAAGGAAAAAAAGAGGTCTGCAATTTGAATTAGAAAAGTATGGATGGGGCAATCATGTGCTCATACCTCAACATTATCTTCAATGAATTAGCCATTTTTAAATCACTGCATAAAGAAAATAAATTTGGAGATTTTTTAAATCAAAAGCAAATGCTAACAATATGATGATATTAAGAGTTACAGGCCCCATTAGCCAAATGATCTACTTTTACCTTCTTTCGTTCCTGCTCCCTCTGTTGGAGTCTACAGACCGAGTCAGAAGCTGCTTGCACTGAAATAAAACAGACAATGAGTTTCAATCAGGAGCCCTTGTTCAAACCTGAACCTGAAACCAAACCAAACCAAAACAAAACACACCAAAACTTGGATTGTTTTAGATCTCATGATAAAAGAACTGATACTATTTTGGTCGTGGTGAGGTGGCTAGAAGGGAAAAAAGAAGTTTTACCAGTATATTCAGGATACCATAATTAGAACCACCATCATTCTTGAGCCTTGAGGTATGCTTGAGGTACAAGCCAAGGGCATTTTAAGTACTAATTCCAATGACAAGTTGTCAACAATGACTTCAGAATTCTCCAAAAAGATATAAAATGCCTGATAAATTTACCATTACATTCTGATTATGTCTTTACAGTGTCTCTTTGATTCGTTCACCCTCCCTCCCCCCCTTTCTCATTCATACGAACTTCTCTCTTGCAGGTAGTGCTTGATACCTACAATGCTTCCACAACTTTCTATTCTTGTTTCTCCTCTCTTATCTGTTAATTCATCCTGGCTACCACTGCCAGATTCAAATTTCTCTGGGCTGTTTTCATTGAGTGATTTCCCTTTCTAATGGACCACAACTACTAGTAATAATTATTAGAGTTATTTATTATTACTAATGCCCAGACCCATGCTAAGTACTTCCCATGTATTAGTCGTCTTAATCCCACTCTCCTATTAGGAGAGGATCACTGTCCCATTTCACAGATTTTTGGCATCTGTAAAAAACTGAGGTACAAAGAGAAGGTAATACGACTCGTAAGTACAGAAAGCAGGATTTAAAATCAGACCCCTGCCTCTAAGGACTTGGCTCATACCCTCAACACTCTACTCCTCTTATGATCTCATCAATGAAACTGGTCTTCATCCATCAGTTTTTCAGACCCTTTCATTTACTGGACCCATCGTATTTCTGTACACAAATGTTTTCACTTATTTCACTGTTCTGCATGCAGGTTAACAATGAGCCATGGTCAAATCTAGAGTTGAACACTTAGTTGCATAACTTGGCATGTTTGCTTGCGCATTCATTCACTTGTTTAATACTGAATGAGCACCTACTATGTGCCAGGCGCTGTGACTACTGCGGCTCCTAGGCCCTTAGCACCTTAGTTCCTCATCTGTAGAATGAGCATAAGAACTAATACGAGCATTTGAGAACTGACATTAAATGAGATAATATGGCAGAAGCTACTATGCTCACAAATAACTGCAATATTAATGCCACTGAAAACAGTTCTTCACAAAGTGAAAGCAGTCAAGGAGTTAAGTTATTATTACTATTATTCTTCTTACTGTACTATCCCTATGGAAAATGCTCTCCTGTATTCCTTTCTTCTAATAAAAATGTTTTACTTGTCCTCAAAGAACAGTTCAAGGTTGACTGCCTTCATAATAAAGCCCTCCCAGATTAATCCTTTCTCTGTAAGGATTTTCTCTTACTTGAAATTCCTTTATCAGGTAGGTGTGTATCACTCCACTTTATCCTGTAATTGCTTAAACAGAGGTTTGCCTAGTGTTTTACAATTCTGCCTTCCTATCCTACCCAAACCTAGCTCCAAATAGCTCACAAGTTCCATAACAGGGCAGGGACTGTGATTTCCCTTTCAGAAAAATGTTAGGTCCCTCCCTGTGAGAATATGGTAAAAGAGGAGGATTCTGCTTTTCAAAAGTAATGTTTTTATCAGTAAACATTTTAGTTATATCAAAGATAATATTTTAGGACTGAAAATTATGTTCCCAATCATTGTTTGTTCTAACAGAAAAGATGAAAACAAAACAAAATGGGAGCTGATTAGATCTGCCTTCTTTCTGTGGCATATTAGTATTACATCATTTTTCCCAAGCAGTGGTTCCATCATTTCCTGATTGGATTTTTTCCCCCTGACTCCAAACGTAACTTTAAAAAAATCCATTTTGTGGTCTTTGGGTGCTTCTTCATTTTCAAATCATTCTGGGCTTAATCTAAAAGAAGAGTTACAAGACTATGACATTATTTTGTCATTTGTTATGTCCTTTAAAATTTTAATTAGAACACATCTGACAGAGGCGTCAGAGGCAAACTTTTGTTCCTTTTATTTGTGCTCAGACAGAATGACCATTTTTAGAAATTTCAGCCCCTTAGAAGTAACTGATTTTTTAATTCTTTAGCCACACAATAATAAAGGCTTACTTTCTAGATTTCATGAGATCTGCTTTTCTAAAATACAAGAAAAATCATGTGACTATCCCAAACATTCCTTCTTCATGATTAGAGACCCCAAGGGAAAAGGCCCATTATGCAAACCTACCCATCACTTCCACATCACTTACTGCAGTGTTATTCCTAATTCAGTAGGAAGCCGTCTCCCCTGTTGTCTCAGTGTTTTAGGAGACTGTACTGATTTTAAAGCATCAAGAATTTGTCAAATTATTTTCTATCAATCAAAAGATTTTTTTAAATTAGCACCACATACGGTAATTGTGCCACAGACGACAATTAACAACATCCTGACTGTCCTCACAGAAAAGAAGCAAATACATTCTATCACGGTGTGTATATGTAAACCTCAAATACATACATAAGCAAATAATTTTGGTTTGGTAGCAGAAGATGTTGGCTGAATTCTCATTCACTCATTTCAATGAATGCATAATTGCTTCGTGACTACAATGTGTCACTGTTTAGGTGTTTTAGGTGCTTCGTGACTACAATGTGACACTGTCAGGTGTCAGAGAACAATCAAGAGTCTGAGCTCATGGAACTTACGTTTTAGTTGGGGAAACAGACAACATATAAATACTGAGCACGTCAGGTGGTGGTGGATATTCCAGAGAAAAACAAAGCATGGTAAAGAGGCCAGAGAATGCCAGAGTGAGGGGCAACGATTATTACAGCATAGCTAAAAGGGTCTCACTGTGGACACTTGAGAGGAGATCTATAGGAAATGACGATGTACAAAAACCTGACAAAAGAGTATTCCAGAGGGATCCCTGAAGTGGGAGCACATTTGGCACATACTAGAAGAAGAATAAGGAGGCCAGAGTAGCTAGAATGAAGTGCGGGAAAAGAAAATGGAAGAAAATTAAAAAGTCAGAGTGGGGGCCACCGTGTAGAAATGTCCAGGCCACTGTGAAGATTTTGGCTTTTCTCTAAGCAAGGTGAGGAGATCCTGATATAGTAATGATAAGAGCCAAGTCACATTTCAAAAAGATCATTCCGGCTCCTATGTGGAGAACAGACTACAGGGAGGAAAGACATGAGTTATGTGGCTACTAGAACAATCTAGGTGAAAGGTCATTGTGGCTTAGACCAGGGTGGTAGCAGTTAGGAACGTGATGAGGGTGGTCAGAGTCTGGTCACAGTCTCAAAGTGGAGCCAAGAAAATATGTTAGTAAGATACATGTGAGGGAATGACCAGGGGGAGAATGGAAAAGGGAGGAGAGGACAAGATGGATAGAGGAAGAAGCAGTCAGTGAAGAAGAAAATTCTAACTGGTAAAGTGCTATAAAAAATTGGTTAGTATTTTAAACTGTTGAATTCCTAAAGATTTCTAGGTAGAGAGAGAGTGAAGCAAAACCAGGCAAACTCAGTCCCTTAAAATAACTCACAAAATAAATAAAAAGTCAAGAAAAACAAAAGGTAAAAAATTCCACCATTCACTGAATAAGGATGAATTATAGTTGTATATTATAAACTCTGAAATGTGGCAGCCAAGAACTGAGACTCCTAACCCCACTGTAATTACTTCATCCCCCAAAAGTTAGAAAGAGAAAATGAGTTGACAGAATTCTTAGAACTCTAATATGCTTAAATTTGTACAGAAATAGATTTGGGGGGTGGAGAAAGTACATAACATGTGAGAGATAGATAAGACAAAACACTTATTCTGAAAGAAAACCTAATATAATTTTCCATAGGTACTTTGTTATACAAAATAACAATATGAACTTATTAAAAGAGAGCAAACACATTGCATGAAATGAAAAATGAAATTGCAGCACTAAGGAAACAAACTGAGAACTATGACAATATCATTACAGATCTAATAAATAAATCAGAAGGAACTGAACAGTCCAAGACTAAATAAACAATTGGCAGCACTAGAACTGCAGGACAGAAAGCAAATACTGCAAACCTTGATAAAGTTAAAATTTTCAAGTGAGGGGTTGGGGAAGAGAGGAAGGAGGGGAAAGTTGCCTCTACCTCTCAAGGCATTAATTAATGCAGAAATAATAACATGACTCTAACTTCTGAATGTTTTTTGTAATTTTTTTGTTTTTCTAATTATTTTTCTTTGATCTTTTAGTAACTACTATCTCTTATAGTACAGAAACACTTATTTAAGGTATTCCCTTCAGTTGTAAGTGTTTGTTCTGTTAAATTCAAATAAAACTTAAAATTAATACCTAAGCTTAAAAAGTGTATGACCCCATTCTTATCAAACACTCTCTCTCTCCCCCTCGTATCTTCCCAGCTAGTCATTCAGCCATCATTTCTCTATCCGTTCTTCTATTTGGAGATACAGAGATGTCTGAAATGATGTTCCCCAAAGTTAAAAAGCAATGGTTATCTTCAGGTGGTTACTAAGGTAATTTATTGCTTTCTTCTCTTTTTTTCCTTATTACTTAAACATATATCCTTCTGTTTAAGTAATAAAAAAAAAAAATAGTCATGTTCTCAAAAAGAGAGAGCGAGGCAGGAAAGAAGAAAAACTATCTTCCCATGACCATGCTAGTTAATGTGAATAAGGAATAACCCAGAGAGGCTCTGCCCTTCTTACTCTCAAATCAAGGTCGCGGTCCTCAATACTACAGTGAGATCTCCAGACAACAAAGTTGGTGAAGCCCAAGAGTCTGTGAAATAATCTGAAAGCAGGGCACAGACACTACTATTGTTATCAGGATGAAAATAACATAAAGGCTGCATCTTGATGACTTTATAGGCTGCTTTTTTCGTATTCTCCTAGAGCTCTCATTTACTTTTTCTGATTTTTAAGGACCCACAGGTCAGTTTTTGTTCTA